ATTTGTACTTGCTGGTCAATGACCGAATAAACTTTTACATACATACATATATATTACATTTCAAAACTTAACAGTGCTTTCAGATAAACACTACTTGACCACCAACCATGATCCAATAAAGTCCATACTGAGGTAGTTATTATGTGCCTTCAAGTCGTTTCCAACCTATAGCAATGCTGAGGCAAACCTATCATGGGGATTTCTCGGCAAGATTTGTCCAGACAGAGTTTACTTTTGCTTGCCTCTGAGGCTGAGAGAGTATGACTTGCCAAGTTTACCCAGGGCAGTGGAACAGATAGAAAAATGGCTGGAAGCAAAAAAAAAATTATAGAATTAAAAAGGGGGGAGTAAAATAGAGGTTGCTATTTCTTGTGTTTACTATCACCCAACTGCCTCTCCTACCCACAGTAAACAGATTTTTCAGGCTTTTATGAAGTTTCAAAAATTCCTGGAACCTTTTGGCAAGAACTGGGTAAAAGACAGGTGTGCATACACAAAGAGTAGTAATGCTTCTCAACTTTCCGATTCCTCACAAACAACAACAAAGACAATGTACTTATGCTACACTGGCTTCTTTATGTTTGACATAGTTCTAACATGGCTACCTTTGCTTAACTATATGCAAACATAGCCATTAAATGTTCCATATGACCTTGTGCAGAATCTGTTCTTATAGTCCAAAACTACGGTAATTTTTGTTCCAGCCTAGAAAATACAGATTGCATCTGTCAACATTGGTGAGGCAGAGAGGAAGGCATGGTGGTTGTTGTTGATGTTGTTAAAGCTGCCCAAAGGAGACAAGACGACACTGGATCAAGAAGCCAGTCTTTCATCCCTATTTTCAGTAGACAATCTTGGTCACACAAAACTTCATGGTACGCAAACCATGTATCTCTTGGGAATATTAGAAAGCTGATAGGGAGGCAATTTGGTTTTTGCAGCGCAGGCGGCTCCAGTTCAATAAGAATCCTTGTGCGCTCACAAAGAAGAATCTGCATGGAGCTAGCAACCTTGTCCTCCTTTCCTTTGTTTGATTTTTTTTTCAAATAACAAATATTGCCAGGAAGAAGGAGAAATGTAACATCAGCCATGTATGAAGAAGGGGCGAGCATATTCCCCTAGAAAGTCTTGTGCATTTCATACCGATTACATCACCTATTTCTTTCCATCACATGAGCCTGAGTCATTAGTGCTCCTGCATCCAATTCTCTGTTCTCAGGAGGCAGTCTAGGCAGCAGCTGCTTAATTTTCTCCTCTTTTCCAACAGCCTTTCATTTGTAGCAGGCCAACCCTTTCTCAACATGCTTTCAAGCTGCAAGACCCATGTGAGTGCAGTTTGTAGGTTTTGACATGCTTCCACTTGTCGAAATTATGTGAATTGCGTCAAACACCAGCAGGAGAATCCAAAGGAATAGCAATAATACAGCCAGGTTATCCTATGCATCTCCTAAAAATAGTTCTTTTTTTAAAAAAAATGTATTTTGTGTTAGGTAACTGGCTGCCTGTGTGGTATAGTGGTTTGAACACCGGACTGTGACTCTAAAGACCAGGGTTCAAATCCCCGCTCAGCCATGAAAAAGCCACTGGGTGACCTTTGGCAAGTCACACTCTCTCAGCCTCAGGGGATGACAATGGCAAAAACCCCTCTGAAGAAACTTGCCAAGAAAACCCGATGATATGCCTTAGGCCAGGTCTCCATAAATCGGAAATAACTTGAAGGTACACACATGCACAACTGGCTTTACTACAGCTATATCAACAATATGAGAGCCACGGTGGTGTTGTGGTTTGAGTGTTGGATTACAACTCTGGAGATCAAGGTTCGATTCCCAGTTCCACCATGAAACCCACTGGGTGACCTTGGCCAAGTCACACTCTCTCAGCCTCAGGGGAAGGCAATGGCAAACCTCCTCTGAACAAATCTTGCCCCAAAATAACCATAACAGGCCTTAAGGTCATCATAAGCTGGCGATGACTTGAAGGCACACAACAAAACCAAAAAAATTGATAAAATCTGTGCTACAGTTTTAAGACAAGTCTTAGTGTTTTGAGGGGGGGAGATGATTGCCATTTCAGAAAGTCTGTTTACTAACTAGCACACAAGTAAACAGAAATGTGGAGATAGGAAGCAAGTGAGAGGATATGAATGAGGGTATTACCAATACCATTTTAAAAGGAAACTATAAGATCAGCAAAGCAAACTGTGATCTTTTTAGTGGCAAAAAGAAAATTGAGGAGTGAGTGAAGCTGAAGAAGAAATTCCTATTATTGCAGCATCTGTATTCTGTTTCTCATCTGTGAGCCTCATGACACCATTCACAACCATATCCTGCTTTTGTTCTCACAACAACTTTCTGAGGTTAGTCAGCTGAAATATATTATTCAATGAGCTTCAGAGCTGACTGTCAATTTTAACCTGGTTTTCCTAGGCAAAAGTACAATGTTTTATCAATTACGCATCAAATACAGTTTTGGTAGCATTTTGAAGACGATGAGCATTCCGAACTTTATATCAGAAAAACTGTGCAAAAGGAGAAATCAAAACAGTTCCTGTGGCACAGATATAGGCTAGGGAAAGCACAGTGTTTTTCTTTCAAATGAGGAACCATCAAAGGAAAGTCCCTTTCCTGCCTAAAAAGCAGATAAGTGGATGGGGGGGGGGGAGAAAGACTGGGATAAGAGGGAAAGAAGAAATTTTGGGTTCTTTTGTGTCCCAACTTCAATATACATCTTGCCTGAATAGATACTTTGCATTAACTGAGAGGACAAGAATATTATTTGTATGGTTTCCCAGAATCTGAACTTTAAAAAATTATGTAAGAGAGAAGATTTTTGTCACAGATTTTGTACAATAAAATTCATGTGGTTGCCAAAACCACTGCTAAAGGGCCCCTTCATTTTGATTATGCATTTTAAGCACAATTTGTCAGAAACAGTATGTTGTATCCAAGTAAGCTAGTAAAGACTACATCAGGTTTTACCTTGGGTATAGATACCTTCATTAGTGAGAACCTCGTTCACAAATCTGGAGAAACACCAAAGTCTTGCTTTCATGTGTTGCTAACAGACAACGAGATAAAAATCAGACATGAAGAAGAAAAGCAGTTTCCAATCTACTGAATTAGAATAAGGACTATCAAATTGCTGACATGATTTAGCTTGCCACAAAAGGCCTTCAGATAAAGCTGAAGGGCCAGCAGTACTTTCTCCCACATTATGGCATTTTACATTTGTTTTAAAAATGTACTAAATTGCTTAGGGAGGGATTAAAGCAATTTATCCTAAAAGGCAACTATTAAAATATACTCTTAAAAAAATAATGGGTGTTAAAGAATATACAAAAAACTATAAAGCATTTACACTTGTCCCTCCCCGTTTGTGGACTTCCCATTTGCGATTTTGAATTTCCGCAGAGAAGAAGCCAGGAGGGACAAAATAGTGCGCCTGCATGCAAGAGTGCACTGCCATTATACTAAATGGGTCCTGAATATCCACGATTTTTCTATTTCTCAAGGGGGGAAACGGATCCCCCGCGAACTGGCAGGGACGACTGTATAGTAAGGCAGCTACCAATTAAACTGACATATTAACAATGAAAAGGTATTGCAACTGGAGATGCGATGCTATATGCACTTAAAGATACTCCCCCATTGACAAGGTTGTCAAGTTGTGTCCAACCGTAGGGGGTGGTGCTTATTTCCATTACTAAGTTGAAGAGCCAGCATTGTCAGAGACTAGTCTGTGATCATGTGGCCAGCA